TAGCTTCCTAGGCCTTCCCCAAATTAAAAAGAAGAAATTTCATCAGAGATGTGAGAAAATGCAGAAAGAAAGGGAAACGGTTAAGCAAGACAAAAATAATATTAGTTCAGCCATTAAACAAAGTCAAGCACCTCTAGTTCCTCCTCAAGGACTATAAATAATATTCTAAGCCATGTCCTGTGAGTCGTGGTGCAGATACTGAAACACCGACCAGGCAGAAGAAGTTAGCTAGCTGCATGCTGCCCACAAGTGTGTAGACCCCAGACTGGTTGGAACCAGAAGGTTGATGATGCTGACTCCTGATTACCTCACCACCAACCAATCAGAAGGATGCCCACAAGCTAATCAGGCACCCGACAATCCTCCTCCCTCACCCTTGTCTTTAAAAGCCTTTCCCTGAAAACAGTCAGTGAGTTGGGGGCTTTTGAGCACCAGCTACCTGGATTCCTTGCTTGGTGCCCTGCAATAAACTTGGCACTTTGCTTCACCACAACCCAGGTCAGTAGATTACTTTTACTGGGCACAGGCGAGCAGACATAAGTTAGGTTCAGTAACAGCTTTGCCACTCCAGGCAAATAGGCCATTTTTTACTTTCAAAGCATATCCTGCTGGTACCTCCAGTTCACGCCTTTCCCTAGGGCATCCCCTCCATCCAGAAGATGCTTTCTCCTCTCCCCAGATTCTGATCTTATCCATCCTTCAAGGTATTTTCATATATCCCCCTTCCCATCAAGCCTCTTCTGACCCACCCATAGGCCATGCCCATCCCCACCATTGAACTGTCTGTTCTTCGTGCCTCTCTTATGTCTTAGCCCACGTTCTGCTGTGTTGTAAACATCTGTGCCCTGGTAAATTCTTCATTTCAGAACTGTAAAATCCATGGGGAGAGAGAGCTGCACTCCTCATACTTGCATCCCTATATTCCTGGTACTCAGCAGGTGCTCTGGAAATATTTGCTGAATTGATTACCAGCTACAGAGGCTCAAAAAAAGACTTTGATAGGGTCACAACTCCTGCAGCTGAGGCAGTACATGTCCTTGCACACTTGGCACCGCCAGGGTCCCCACGACCCAAGCAGCTGCACCACATTCACGCTCAACCCTCATTGGGGCAGAACTGCCACAGGCAAAAAAAAAAGCCTTGCATCTATGTACGTGGGGTTGCTTCGGTCATGTTCAATTCTTTGTGACCCTGTAGACTGTGGCCTGCCAAGCTTCTCTGTCAGTGGGCTTCTCCAGGCAAGAATACTGGAGTGGGTTGCCATACCCTTCTAGACCACTGTATTTCCTGCTGCCCTAGCCACCAACTCCCCTGTGTAAGCTGCCAGAGCCCCTGTAATCCAAGTAGCTGCACCATCTCCCCACCTGGCCCTCACTGGGGCAGACCCAAGTCCTCCAGGGCAGCCCCAGGAGAAAACCACCTCTGCATGTGGACGACCCACATGCAGAGGTGGAAATAAAACCATAATTGAAACCCAAGGTCAGTGTGGCTAAGGGAGAAGACCCAAAACCTTCCCACCAGCTGTACAAGCTGCAGATTAAATCTACATGATCAACTAGGCAGACTCTGTGTCTATGGAATATATAAAAGGACATTGAGAGCTCCTACAAAAAAAAAAAAGAGAGAGAGAGAGAGCTCCTACAAAAGAAAACACAATAGTTCTGATAACTGTGGACATTAGAGGCAAGAACACACAGGAGCAGGACCAGATTAGAGTCTGAGCTTCCCTGGCAGCAGGTCCAGAGACCAGCGCAGTGTTGGAGGGCATCCTAGGGAGATAAGGTGGACTATGACTCCCAGAGAGGGAAAGGATGCTGACAGCAGAAACTCAAGAAAAACATTTATTATTCTTATGCTTTGACTTGTTCTGTAGTTTATTTGGGATTTTTTTCTTTTTTCTTTTTTCCCTTTTTTTCCCCTTTTATGTAGTTGTCAATTTTATTAGAACTATAAAATCTAATTAAGCTTTTGAGCTTTTTTTTTCAATCAATTTTTATTGCTGTTATAAACTTCTGCCTCTACATTGGCCTTTTGCAGTTCTGAGTTTTTATTTTTCTTCTCTTTTTTCCTCTTTTTTTAATTTTTAATTTTTTAAACCTATTAATATTTTTCTACATGTATTCCTTTGTTTGCTTTTCCCACTTTTCTTTTCCCCTTGCAGTTAATCTTTAACATTTGCTGAATGGAACTGACAAATGGGAGCGCATTTCTAAGGGCTGATGACTCTTCTGGAGAGAGGGAGAGTCCCTGTTACAAAGCCTGGGTCTCCAGGGGCCCCCATCTCCTGTTCTTAGAAAGGTTCCCCAGTTCCTCAGGGCTGTGTGAGTGGCATCAGGTACCTATTGGGGTACATGCATCTCCTACATCCTCCTGGGCAGATGGCCTATGTTTTGTGCCCAGGGATGTGTCTGGACTGGGCGATGGGTGAGGTGTCGGGGGAGGCAGAGAGAGCCTGGATCTGCCCTAGAAGCAGGAAGCACAGAGTCAATGTTCTCCCTTGAAAAGCCTTACAACCCCAGGAACTCTGACCCAAGAGCTTTCTGCTCACTGCAGAGATGGGACAGAGGCCAAACAATGTCACAATATCTGTGTGCTGATAGTGTGCTGGTCCACTAAGGGCCCAGATGGAGCATCCTAGTCCGAAGACCAGCATGCTATTCCCCTCAGTACCTAGAATCAGGCCTTGAACACTGTGGAATCTAACTGATGATAATTGCTAACAGCTGTGGACAGCAGGGTGTTGCCATCACAGAGACCTGGCTGGTGAACTTGATGAATGACCTTGGGCAATTTCTCATCTGGGTTGTTGTGAAGATGCAAAAAAAAAGTTTGTAAAAAGCCCAGCTCAATGCCTGGCAGATAGTAGGTGCTTATACATGGGCATTCACAGTGCTGCTACAGGGCATCAGCGACCTGGTGGCAGCCCAGCTCTTCTATCACCAGCCTGAGGCTCAGGCACATCCACCCTGCACAGACCTCAGTGACCTCATCTGGGTTGGGAGGTGGGAAGGCTGGACTACCTCAGAAGGCTGATTTCTGAGGTCCTTAATACTTGTCAATATTCTCTGCCTCTATGAATAAAACTGGTAAGGGGGATGATTTGAGTGTCAGAAGAGACTGGTTGCTCTTAAAATCCTGTGATTAATCTTTGAAAAGGAATACAAAAGTAATAATTACCTAAGTGCGGCGAAAAATCTTGGATTCTTTCATTATATTAATAAAATCACTAAAGAGGTAGTACTCAGACACATAAGACAACTCAATCCATTCCTTGTTGATGAGAATCTTTAGGGCGAGCACATCCCTCCCAGAAAGATCCAGCTAAGAAAGTAGCACATATAGGCTCAGCTGCTCATGCTTGGAGCCTTATTTATGATTCACTTGTTATCACAATTTCTAGATCAATCACAGGACAGGGCACCCGAGGGAACTGCAGACAAGTGGTGTGGATAGAGAAGCATCTGAGGATTGCTTCTGAAACATGCAACTTTCCTCCCCACAATCCCAGACAGACTAGGGGAGTTCTGGGGGAGGGTTAGGTTCCAACGGAGACTGTGGTGGGCTTAAGAAAAAAAAATATCAATGTATAAAATCAAATTTCATGCTAAACATCCAGAATATGCTGTAAACACCACTATCCAAGGCTGCAAGGACTGTTTTGAACTAAACCTTATGTATTCACACCAGACTGAAACCCATCCAGGGCAACCTCCCTCCCCTCATTTGTTTGTCTTAACCCAGCATCTGGCCCATTCCAAGCACTCAACATCTTTATCAAGGGAATGCCCAAATGATCGAAAGAATTAATAGGAAAATCCTTATTCACCTTTTCTAAGACACCAGGCTTGACTTCAGAAAACAACTGTGACCTAGTAAACCAGCTTTGCCAGATGGGAGCCAAAGCAGCTTTTGAGTTCCCCAAGAGCCAGGAAAGGCCCTGTCCACAATGGGGCTGGCTTAAAGCTACAGCCCCTGCCTTTAGTCACCGCACCACCTGTGTGTGCAGAAATGACTTTAATATCACAGCTCCTCCATGTCCTGCTTATTCTGCTTCAAGACAATCCAAATGTCATATAAAATATACAGTGGGGCCTGGTCTATTTAGTTTGCAGAAGAAAGCCTGTGTTTTTTCACCCACACGGAGGTGGTGACTGCAAAACTCTCAAGGCATTAATTTCATTTATCCATTCAGTAGGGATGTGCAGACACAGTGCAGGTGGATTCTCAGAACCCAGCCCCCATCCTCAATGCTCATGTCGACTGGTAGGAGAGAGAAGACCGTCTCACACCTTGGAAGAGAAGGTCGGAAGTGGAAATCTCACTTTGAAAGAAAGGACCAAACAATGGAAGGGAAGAGTCAGACTTGCACCTTAGAGGTTTGGAGTGTGAAAACATCCTGAGCAAGGAAAGGTAGGTTCGGCCCTGCATGCATGCGACAATGCTAAAGGCCGGGAAGCTTTCAAAGGCAGCATTCTTCGAGGACTAAGTGAGGTCAGTGGGAGAACCCACGACGCGTCCGGATTCTTTCATCTCTGCTTCCTGGTGCGCACCCGCAGGCATTCTAGATGCCCGCGCTGTTGAGGGACAAAGAGCTCACTTCCTTCCCCCGGACACCTCATCCTCTAGTTTCTGCCCAGCGTCTCCGAACACCAGCCCCACACGCTATCTTCCCCTCCTCTCCCTGATCCGGACCCCATCCACTGTTATCCCGGGCAGACGGGCATGGCCCTCGCTAGGTACGGACTTCCCACTGAAGGGGAATTGGAGAGCCCCCGCCAAACCCAGACACTGCATGGTCTGAGAGTGCAGGCCCCTGGGGAGACCACCCCGCCAAGTGAAAACTTGGCCCAACCTGGTTCCTTCAACTTCAAACTCCGCGGGGGCGGAGTTTCGAGGCGGGAGGAGGGTTTTGTGGAGGGAGGACAGGAGAGACTGCCCCAGGGACTCAGACCCCCACCCCCACCCCAGGTTCAGGCGGGGCTGACGCGCGGCGGTCTTACCCTGGCATGAGGCCGGGGGGCACGTAGGCGGCATTGAGCTCTGTCAGGAGGGTGCCCGCGCTGCGAGAGGCCATGATGGGGGCGGCGAGAGCGCAGCGAGCCCGGGCGCTCCGGCCCCACGGTCAACAGCACGGGTCACCCGGCAACCGTGCGCCTAGCAACGCCAGTGTGGGGCTTGCGAGTCCAGGGGGCCCGCACCCCTCTCGCCGGCCCCTTCTTGGAGTAGCCGCCGGGACGCGCCCACAAGAAGTCCCCCTATCTTCACGTGCTCTCTTGTGTGACCCCAGCAGATCGTCGCTCCCACCCAAGCCTCCGTTTTCTCATCCTTGAATGGGTGCATCTTGCGGCTTCACTGCCGGCCTAGATGCGCGATGCGCCGATGCCAGTGCGGGACGCAGGTGGAAATGGCGCACAATGCCGCAGCCGCAGCGTGGCTCAGCCCAGCGCCCCAGGGGCCACAGGGACCCCAAGAGCCGTCGCATCCCAAGGTTGCCGACTGCGCCTCAGTTCCATGGGGCCTCCCGGAGCGGGCTTCAAGCGTGTGTTCCGCTTGCCATATTTGCCCGGAACTCTCTGTAATTTAAATGTGTTTGTGTGTGTGTGTGTGTGTGTGCGCGCGCGCGTGTGTACGAGTTCACGCGCACGCACACACGTGCATCGGAGCGAGGGACATTTTACTCCTTAATCTCTTCTTTCTCCCTGGGAACCTCCTTCCCCTCTCTTTCCTCTCAAAGGCAAGAGAGGGGCAAAGCCAATCGTGAAAAGGTCTAGAGTGTGATTCATATTTGCCCCATCTCTGCAGTTCTGGCCCTCCTGTGAATCCAGGGTTGGGCCTTGCCCTAGACAGCAAAGCTTCAGAAGGCTGGAGTGAGGTTTCTCTGTGACTTTGGTGCCCCCACATCTGGATTTCTCCAATGACCCTCACACAGCCCTGGGCCACATGTCGGGCAAGGCGGGGGGCCTTAGGTCTTTAGCTGGGGGTGGTGATGCTGAGTGTGATGACAGACAGCCTCGAAGGTGCCAGGCTCTTTGCATCTCACCCCCAATCTGCTCCCCAGCTCCCCCTGCAGCAGGCCTGGAGTCAACAGAGAGTCTGTGGTTCTGCAGTTTAGCCTCATCCAGCACAATCTCACTTCATCTGTCAGATGAGAGGTGTTACCTTCACAGTTCAACTCTGTCCATGTCAGCTGATGAAAATGTCAGCTTCCAGAATCCTCAGAAGGCCCTTTGGGACCAATGACAATGGTCCCAAATGAACTGGGGGCCCCAGGCTTCCAAGAGGTGCAAGAGCAGGAAAACTGGGTCCCAGGGAGGAAAAGGAGCTGAAACAAATGGTTGCAAAGGAAGTAGAATAGTCTCCACCCATCCTCCAAAATGCAACCACATCTGTTGATTTTCTAAATTCTCCATGCAGAACATGGGCTATGATAAGAACAACATTCATGAAAAATGTAAAAGAACAGCAATTGGTTCAAGGTGCCACACTCCAGGTAGGTTGTCCTAATGACCCCCACCCCCAGACAAAGTCCAGTGCCCACTCCCTCCCTCGATTCACAGCTTCTGAGCTGATTCCTCCCATGGACCCTTTGGCCTGGGTTCTATGCATCTGTGTTCTCTTCCATTTGTTGCTTTTGCTTGAGGGCCAGTACCGTATCACATGCACGTCTGGAAACCCCCACACCTGGTACTAGGAGGTGTTCACTGAACAACTTTACTAGAAAGTTGTACTAGAAAGTGAAAGTCACTCAGTCACGTCCAACTCTTTGCCACCCCATGGATTATACAGTCCATGGAATTCTCCAGGCCAGAATACTGGAGTGGGTAGCCTTTCCCTTCTCCAGGGGATCTTCTCAACCCAGGGATTGAACCCAGGTTTCCCACATTGCAGGTGGATTCTTTACCAGCTGAACCACAAGGGAAGCCCAGGGATACTGGAATGGGTAGCCTATCCCTTCTCCAGCAGATCTTCCCAACCCAGGAATCGAACCGGGGTCTCCTGCATTGCAGGCAGATTCTTTATCAACTGAGCTATCAGGGTAGTAAGAGTCAGCCAAATGGGTAATAGTTAGGAGAGTGGAAATTAAAAAGTGTGATCTGGCTTAGGTATCAGAAGGGTCAGTGGTTCAGCTGACAGGTACTCTGTTCTGACCAGGTGGAATTGCTACAGCTTTATAGATATGGAAACTGGAATTCAACAAGGCTACAGGCCTTGCTTAGGGCAAGTTCAAGGACGTTTTCCTATAGGAGGCCTTGTGAAACTCAGCCCCTTCTTGAGAACCTCCAGAGGGCCTAGGGAGGGGATGGACATTTTTCCCCTGTAATGCACCTACAAACCTTACAAAGATCACCTGTCAGCCTTAGGGCTGGAACATGCTAGTGAATTTACTTTTTTAAAAATGGAGACATTCAACATCTATTTAATTAGACATTCACTTTTATTGCATAACTACAATATTCTAAAATATTCTTTAACTCAATATGTCTAGATAAAAGTGAGAAAGGAGAAGAATTTGAGGAGGGAAGAGAGAGAAGGAATTAGAACACAAAGAAATTAAAAAAAAAATAGAATAAAGCAGGAAGGAAACACCTAGAAGGAAGGAAGTTCTTGAGACATCCTACAGGTCACTTGGACTGTAGAATTCTAAGGGAGTAACCTCTTGTCAGCATGCTGTTAGAATTTAGTATTTCTTTGTTTTTAACTTTTTGACTGTTCAGCTAGGTCACCACGCTCACTCTTTTATCCTGTCAACGGTCACTGAATAGCCTACTATCCACACTAGACTGTGCAAGCCTCTGGGGCTGCAAAGGGGCATCGCTCCAGGGTCTCCCAGTTGGGGGGTCGGGGGAAGTAAGTGGAGCAGTCCAATGAAGCAGTGGACGAGAGAGGGTAGGGGCATCACAGACAAGGACCGACCCAGCTCAGGTGCCGTGCGGCTGCAGAGACACTTCCAGCTGAGTCTAGCCAAGATGCTAAGGGTGCAGCAGGGCATTCCATGCAGAGCAAACGCAAGAGCAAGGGTGCAGCTGGCCCTGCAAAGTCTCCAGGCTCAGGGATTCCAGCCTCCCGGGTCTCTTTCCCCCTGAGCCCCTCCTGGGTGTGCTGTTAGAAGAAAGGAGGGGCAGTTCTCCTTTGGTCCTTGGAAATTCTGCTGCAGACACCCCTTCCCCCATCCCTGGGAGCTGACAGTTCTTCCCCAGCACATCTTGCCACCCCTGGCGGTAGGACAGCGTGGGGTTAGTGCCTGGGACCTAAAGTACTGCCCTTAGTAAAACATAAGCCTCTGAGGCCTTCACAGTCAGGCATCTCCAATCACACTGAGCCTGGCTCCTGGGCTCCCCAGAAACACCACTTCCACCCTCTCAGATCCCAAGGGGTCAGGACTGGCCTCTTAGGGTCATAACCTCCATGAAAGCAGAAGGAGGAAAGCGTTCCTCTTTACTCTTAGGGCTTCCCTGATGGCTCAGATGGTAATGCAGGAAACCCGGGTTCGACCCCTGGGTCAGGAAGATCCCCTGGAGAAGGAAATGGCAACTCACTCCAGTATTCTTGCCTGGAGAATCCCATGACAGAGGTGTCTGGCAGCCTACAGACCATGGGGTCACAAAGAATAGGACATGACTGAATGACTAACACTTCTCTGAGGGTCCGGCCAGCAGGCACAGCCTGGATATTGCCTGGTAGATGCTGGTTTTCCAGTGGCAAGGCCCTGGGCTGGGATTTCTACCTAGCACAGTGTGACCCCCCTGAACAACCAGGCCTGCCCCAACCATGCCCCCTGAGCCTGGTGGGCAGCAGCAGCCCTGCTGGCCAACTTGACTGGTGGGGGGACAGCGAGGATCACCCTGAAACTGTGCAATAGCCTAGCTTCCGGTGCACAAAGATCATCAAGTTCCTTCTCCTCCATGGGAGGGGGTGCCATCCCACACCAGCCTACCCCTCTCATGCCTGCTCCTGGTGGCAGGAGAGCTGGCCTGGCAGGCCCTGCGGAGGGGTGGGCTGGCAGCCCCGCTCCAGGAGCTGTGAGAAGACACCTGAAGCTGAGCAGAGCTTTATCTGGGAGCAGGCGGCTGCTGAATAATGAATTCAGACTGTCTGCACTGCTAGGCTGCGCTCAGGCGCACCACACACACACACAGATACGAACACGCTGGGCTGACAACTTGGAGGGGCGGGGGCTGGCAGGGCTGTGAGTCTCTGTGAGTCGCTGGAGGGAGCCGCTGGGCTTGGTTGCCTTGGTCTCTGTGGGCAGCATCGGAGGGAGAGGAGGCGGCGGCGGAGAGGAAGGAGACGTGAGTGTGCTGAGTGCTCCATCCACAGAGCTCGCTCCTTCCCCGGCTGCTCCCTCCTGGCGGTGCCCGGGCTCCCCGCACCAGCATGGCCCTGCTCGTCCACCTCAAGACGGTCTCCGAGCTGCGGGGCAAGGGCGACCGGATCGCCAAAGTGACTTTCCGAGGTAGGGAAGCCCCCATCTTATGGGGACCCCCTGCTCTGGGCAGACGGGATAGAGCAGCGAGGGAAGGACGGGTTGGAAAACTTCTAGCAGGCTTGGGGCAATGAAGCTTCTCACGGGCAGCTGTCTGCCCCTTGCCAGGCTAGCCATTATGACTTCTCTAAAATCAGGGTCCCCCTGTTTCTGTATCTGCGTGTGTGTCTCTCCCTGCACTGGCCAATGTGCCAGCCAGAGCACTGTAGAGTCCCTGGCCTACAGGAGATCCTGGGGAGGCAAAAGCAAGAACCCCACCCCAGGCTCAGGGGACCCTGGGCCCCCTCCTCCTCTCTCTCTCTCTCCTGCAGGCTGGATTCCTTGGGCCTAGAGTGGGGGTGGGGTCCCAGCCTGGAAGACCCAGGCTCCTAGAAACCAGCATGATGGAGATACTGTTGGCTTCTTTTAGGTCTGTCTGTGGTCAGGGATCCTTTGAGCCCCACGGCCTCTCTCACTGTCAGTTCTCTTCCTAGCCCCCTAGCATCCAGTCAGAATTTACTATGACCTCTGTGCCACAGCTGGGGGCTGGGCATGACCCAGGCCTGGCCCTCGATGAGCCCATATCCAGTGAGACAGGAGGACCAAGGGATAGACAATAGGACAGGTGCATAATACGATGAGGATGGGG